TTGCCTTAAATACTATGAAAATACTTTGCATTTTTTTTAAATATGTGCTTGTTATGACCATAAATTTATTCCACCGTTTTTCCTTTTAAAATTGCTTCAGGCATCACAGATCACAGTGTCACTTTACAAGCACCTTTGAAACATTAAAACCCATGTAACCTAAATTTGTTTTTCATTTTGTTTAGTGAACGTCAAGAAAGCAATGTGCCACCAAAAAGCAAGACGTAGTTTTGACGGCAACAACGAGACAAGACTATGACTGAACAATAACAGAAAAGGTTTGAAACCTGTTTAGAAATATATTGTAATACAATGTTTACATTGTACTGTATACAATACAGAAATACATTGTTTTTATCGGTGTGTTTGGTGACATCATTAGTGTAAAAATCACGTTTAATCTTTAAAACAATGCAGAATGCACTATGTACTATGCACCAGAAACAGTTTTTCAATTCTGTGAATTACAATTGTTTTTCTCTTGTATTTGGTGCTTGGTGAGTTTTAAAGATGGAAACTGGTATAGTGCAAGTGGGTTCACCCAGATTGGTCTGTTGTACATAAATATTGCATTGATTTTGTGTGTGTGTACTGTATGTAGCAGGCAGGTGTCATGTAATCCTGCTAAATGTAAAACAAGAATTCACTCCCCGTAAACACAGTCACACACACATAAACCATTGCTAAGACCTTGTTAGAGCCTGTAATAGATCTGACTATCATAATTATTATCATACCCTTCAAGAGCTGCTTTCAGGTCCATAAATAACAGCTGCAATGCATTGACAGTATTCACAGCTTTGTTGTTGTTGTTTTTTTACCAAAGTACCATGTCACATATCATCCATTCATCAAACCCTGTTCCCATTGTTCGTTGTCTCTGACCTCTTAGCAGCGTTTGGGCTAGAGTTACCTGCAGTATACTCAGCTGATCGCTCCTGGGGCTTTAAAGGCAAAGCTTTTATGACTGGGGATAAAACAAGTCAGAGCCCGGCGGAGTCCATCTTTCTGTGGTTTTTAAGGGAGTCATTTCATCTAACTTTCACGAAATCAAAATTCATGTTTGTTAGCTTTGAAGCTAATCGATGTGCTAATGTGCCCCTAAGATTTGACAAATACACCCACCTAAAGGATTTTTAGGAACACCTGTTCAATTTCTCATTAATGCAATTATCTAATCAACCAATCACATGGCAGTTGCTTCAATGCATTTAGGGGTGTGTTTCTGGTCAAGACAATCTTCTGAACTCCAAACTGAATGTCAGAATGATAAGGAAAGGTGATTTAAGCAATTTTGAGCGTGGCATGGTTGTTGGTGCCAGACGGGGCGATTTCACAATCTGCTCAGTTACTGGGATTTTCAGGCACAATCATTTCTAGGTTTTACAAAGAATGGTGTGAAAAGGGAAAAACATCCAATATGCGGCAGTCCTGTGGGTGAAAATGCCTTGATGATGCTAAAGGTCAGAGGAGAATGGGCCGACTGATTCGAAATGATAGAGCAACTTTGACTGAAATAACCACTCGTTACAACCGAGGGATGCAGCAAAGCATTTGTTAAGCCACAACACATACAACCTTGAGGCGGATGGGCTACAACAGAAGACCCCAACGGGTACCACTCATCTCCACTACAAATAGGAAAAAGAGGCTACAATTTGCAAGAGCTCACCAAAATTGGACAGTTGAAGACTAGAAAAATGTTGCCTGGTCTGATGAGTCTAGATTTCTGTTGAGACATTCAGATGGTAGAGTCAGAATTTGCTGTAAACAGAATGAGAACATGGATCCATCATGCCTTGTTACCACTGTGCAGGCTGGTGGTGGTGGTGTAATGGTGTGGGGGATGCTTTCTTGGCACACTTTAGGCCCCTTAGTGCCAATTGGGCATCGTTTAAATGCCACGGCCTACCTGACCATTGTTTCTGACCATGTCCATCCCTTTATAGCCACCATGTGCCCATCCTCTGATGGCTACTTCCAGCAGGATAATGCACCATGTCACAAAGCTCAAATAATTTCAAATTGGTTTCTTGAACATGACAATGAGTTCACTGTACTAAAATGGCCCCCACAGTCACCAGATCTCAACCCAATAGGGCATCTTTGGGATGTGGTGGAACGGGGGCTTCGTGCCCTGGATGTGCATCCCACAAATCTCCATCCAAGAAGATACTATCCTATCAATATGGGCCAACATTTCTAAAGAATGCTTTCAGAATCTTGTTGAATCAAAGCCACGTAGAATTAAGGCAGTTCTGAAGGCAAAAGGGGGTTAAACACAGTATTAGTATGGTGTTCCTTTAATAATCCAAGGTGAGTGTATAATCTTTTAGCAGATATATACTGCATGCCTCTGACTAGCTGTAGCATTTAGCAAGTATGTAAAAATGCTATATAAATAAAAGGGGATGAGCACTTTTATATAGTACCGCCCAGTTTCCTGTTTCAACAGGAAATACATCAACACAATCCTTGAGGAAAACATTCACTTTAGCTTTATATTTGTAAAAGGATTTATTCTTAAGTGTTAATTGAATGTAACATTTTCAGACTCTCAATTGCATGTTATGTACAAATTTATGTACAAAATTGTTATCAATTGAGTGCTATGTATGACTTATACAGTATTGTGTTTGGAATATGATTAGTGTTCTGCTGATTGATAAACTAAAATATACTTTAATATAATTGTTATTGAAACTTCTAAGTAGCCTATGTAATATTTGTAATTACACATTTGAAATGATTAACCAATTTAGTACATTTTACATGCATGTCCTTATAGTCAACATAGTCAAAATAACTACTACTGCTACTTTAAAGATTTGAAGAACACTATGCACATTCAATACAATTAACTCCAGAAGAAAGTATGACAACTGTGCTATAATTGTTTTCATAGGGTCTTAAAGTAAAATACTCTTTAGATCATTTCTACATGCAAGTCTGTGCTGTAAAAATGTAAATCAATAAGATATGAAAACGGGGTTTTAACATTGCTTTAACTCATCAAAATATTATTATTTTTTTTATTTGGATTTTTTTTTAAAGGAAAGCCCCTTGAGATGTAACATCTCATTTTTGAGGGGGTCCCAACACATTATTATAAATTATGCAATGTTCAAAAAAAAATTATAAGTTATAAAACTTATTTTTAAGCCAGTTTAATGTAATTTAATGCATTCAAGTTGATAGTGCTAAAAAAAATTACAATGTGTCAGTCTACAGTGGTGGCGGAAATTCATCGTGGACATTGACAATCATTCACTCCCATAATGCACCTCAAAGCAATCGCTTTACACTGAACACCCTGAAGCTGATGAGCGTCACGCCGAAATAATTCCACAGTACTTCCGGCACACCCAGTGTCTGAATCCGCTCACTTGTTTTCATTCACAACTGCAGGGGACTATTAGTGGTGTAATGTATTACATATATAGAATGAGATATTGAGTGATTTCCGATACAGACAATGCAACAATGTGAGAGGAAAAGGGAAGCATGTCTATGATCTGTCACTGATGAAAGAGAAAAAGAGCAGCTGCTCGTGTTACAGTGAAAGTCTAGCCTGTTATTGCCGGCAATGAGGGCATCTAATATAACACAAAGTAAATGAATGAGGCAGAGGGCTTTCCAGAGACTGGAAGACCTCAAAGACCTGACCGCCAGATAACTCCTTGGCACACTTTCTGGCTAGACTAATGTAAAACACTGATGAACATGAATGTAGGCTCTTATACAGTAGTAAAATATATATATATATATATATATATATATATATGTCAATTGTGATAATAGAGTCCATTTAGCCAATATATATATATATATATATATATATATATATATATAATTGTATTTAATTATATTGTTTTAATCCATTCCACATTATTATTTGTAATAGATAGATTTCTATATATTGCAGTTCATGTTGGGGAAAGACACATTGAGGACAATTTCCATATTTTACTTAAAATGCTTAAAATCCAAGTCTATTGATAATTCACCAGTGGCTAAGCCCTGTCCCCCTTAGTTACTGTTGCTACATCTGTCAAACTTCATCTGGGGTCTGGTTTGGTATCAACATGGCTTATGCTGTGACAGCTCTTCCTGCTGAAATGTTATCAAACTTTTATAAAGCAGCAAATAAAGTGTCCGATAGAAGTAGGCAAAAGGGACTGCAATATGCGTTCGAATGCTAAAGACATACAGGTGAAACGCAAGAAACAACAAGGCATCCAAATATAGGGGCAAAAGCATAACATTACCGGTCACAGTCAAAAAATGAACCATCGCATATCCTACTAATCGAGACGGAGGCTGGGACTAAAAATATCAGGGAGCAACACTGTTCATGCAAAGCTGGGTAGGTCTCTATTCACTTCTATAATCGTTATTACAAAGCAAACAGACTACACGTGTATAACGTTGTATTTATTAGCAGCGTGTGCTAGCGTATCAACAACCGGTGTGAGAACCGAAATCATAACATAAAACATTATAAAACGGTCTAACTAGTATAACTTCACAGTAAGGTTAGAAGCAAAAAAGATGTGCTTGTTGATCTTTGCGGGGTTTAGCTGACTGAGGACGTCCACACAGTTTAATCCAAAGACGACACTCCTCAGGATTTGACTTCGGATTTGGGAAGGGAAAAAACGGACAGCCCCTCCAACCTCTCTGAGAAACGCGTATCTGTGTTACAAATCCCCCAGGCACAACGTTTAACCATATTTTTAATAAAACTATGACGGTAATAGCCTGCCGAAACCAAAAATATGAGACGCCTGAGTTGAAAGTCAATGGAGCGCTGTGAAAAAGTGTCGGACCTCTGTGGGAGCTCGTTTTTGGCTGCGCCGTGATTGGTCAATCTACATTCTAGGGCGTGGCTTAGCCAAAGGCGAATTATTGAAACAAGATTCGAAGTGATCGCATCAGCATCCTGTGATTCACATCAGTGAGATTGGCAATTCATACCAAACACTTCAACAAGTACACAATGTAGAATTTTAATACATACAGTAATAACACAGTTATTAACACATTAAATGGCTTTATATTGTCACTTATTTACAGTCATAAATGTACGACCAACTATGATAAGTTGTCAGGCAAAGCACATGATATTCAAGTTCCTGAAGTTTCGTTTTTTAATGTTCTTGAAGGCTTTGAATGTTCTCATTAGAATTATAATTCTAGAATAAAAGGACGCGTTAAAATGTTCAATTCATTCTGTAGCGCCACCACCACCACAGTGTTCAGTTAGTCCGTAAAGAACCATCGTTATAGAGGCAAAATGTGCAAATAAATATCAGATTATCTGCTTAATAATTCAAACAGAAATAGCACACTACTTCTCCTTCATACTAAAATAACATAACTTTAGGTAAGTATAAAATAGCAGCAGTTATTAACACTAAAAACACAACGACAATATGTGTTTACAGAATATCCCGTATTTCTTGGGGAAAACAGCTCACCAAGATTCCGATAAATGAAAAACAACTTGTATAATACATGGAGACCTTGGCTCATAGCTCCCTGATGCTTTCTCCAACAAAACGTTATCTATTTTCACTTATTATTAATCAAAATGATACAAGAGTGAATGTCTTTATCCGTCAATGAAAATTGCCTTTCTTGAGGCTAATATTGATAGAGAAAGTGATAGTTAGAGAGAACAAGACTTGGAAGTCTTGATACGTAGGTCCATATCTTTCAACTCAAGTCAACATTTACCATTGTTCCACTCAACATAAAGCCTGGTACATCCCATTTGAGTGAAAGGCACTGTAATGATCATAGAAATAAATAGTGACTGTAAGTGGAAAACTCTAAATACATTTCTCCTCTTCATTGGCTGAGCTTCCTCTAAAGTGCCACAACAAACCATGATTATCACTTCAAATACAACATGATAGTATTATACACTACTTACTTGGAATTATATTAAAAAAACACATACATATAGACAATAATATGACAAAGGTGTTAGAGATAAATGTTATAGGCGCCATTTTGCAAGTTACCCAAAATGGTAGTTTCCTGGTGGAAGCATTAAGCCACCCAAATGCACTTGATGATAGTGCATTTGTCGTTTAATTTTAGAGTGATTCTCTAATTTTTAATTACACATAGTGGACAGGATGTAATAGGTTTATGAGATTATGAGATGGTTTTAAGTTGTTTTATTATTTAATAATAGGATTATGCAACACGGATGGAAATCTAATTTCAGTTACTTATGTTTTCAGAGAAACTGTTATTAGGTAATAATCAACTCTGTTTCAACCCAAAAAAATCTCACAAACATCGAAACACTAAAAATTAAACTCATTGGCTGAATCTCACAAAACCTGTGACGTATCTGACTGGGTCATTTTTCACCACAAAATGAATAAACTATGGATATTTTAGCACCATCTTTTTCTTCTTTTTTACAAATAATTTGCATGACTGTTATTCCCCAATTCTCTTTACTGAATGCACAAAAACATATTACTGAAAAAAAATATTATTTAATTATATGAATGGTAAAGTATTTTATACATCTTAGAAGTACTTGTTTTAGAAATACTTAACTCTTGCATTGTCCGTGCAAGATATTGACCAAAAATGAATGCACCTCTTGATGGGAATAATTGTTGGGTCATTGTTACAGTGTAATTATGTGCTTAATATTAGATAATATTAAAATTATATATTAGGTAACTATATGTACTTACTATACGGTTAGGGTTGGATTAGGGTTTGGATGGGTTATGGTTAGGGTTAGTTGCATGTAATTATGCATAATTTACTGTTATTACCATGTTATTATAATGTAACATCTGTGACAAGGACACTGTAAAATAAAGTTTTAGGTAAATATTTGGTCAAGATCTTGTATTGACAAAGCAAGAGTCCAGCACTCTGTAAAGTCTCCTCCACCACACCCCAAAGACCTTCAATTAAATTTAATGTCAATTCATGTGTGAAAATTATTTTTCATGCTCCTTCCAACTATTCTTTGACGATCTGTGACTGATGAATCTTGACATTGTCCTCCTGGAATATGGCCATGGTGTGTCTTCCTACATGGTTGTTTAAGAAAGTAAAAGCTTCACACTCCATCAATTAGGGTTAGCAGAACTTTGTGTATTTGAATCCAAACAGCAACTTTAAAATTTTTATTTTATTTATTTATTTATTTTGGATGGGTAGTGTACTGTATTATCTCTTGATTTTGGGGTGAAATATGACCTGCAGATGTTTAATGTGATTTATGCTCACGAAAATTTCTGTTTCCCAAGTTTCAATATGGGTTTTAATACTTAATACTTTCCATTTACCTTGTTCAGAGAGGAACTACTTCCATGTTTTGTATTGTTCCCTGACTTTGAAGCTTGGTCGGTTGGATCAGCTACGGGCTGCTTCTCCTCCTGGTCTGTCTCTCTATGGTAAAAGTAGTTGAAATTTGAGACTATTACAGGCACTGGCAGGGCGATGGTCAACACCCCAGCAATGGCACATAAAGTGCCCACAATCTTACCACCTAGTGTAATGGGACACATGTCTCCATAACCCACAGTGGTCATGGTAACTACAGCCCACCAGAATCCATCAGGGATGCTAACAAACTGGGTGTTGGGGTCGTCAACCTCGGCGAAATAGATGGCGCTGGAGAAGAGAATGACGCCAATGAAGAGAAAGAAGATGAGCAGCCCAAGCTCCCTCATGCTGGCCTTGAGTGTCTGGCCCAGGATCTGCAGGCCTTTGGAGTGTCTGGAAAGCTTAAAGATCCTGAAGACTCGCACCAGTCTGATGATTCGCAGGATGGCCAGGGACATATTCTGCCCTGTGTTGGACTTATGGGTGGTGGTCACAATCTCAGTTATCAACGTGACAAAATAGGGAATAATGGAGACAATGTCAATCATGTTCATGATGTTGTTGAAAAATTCCCGTTTGCTTGGGCAGGCCATAAAACGCACCACAAGCTCGAAGAAGAACCAGATAATGCAAGCTGTCTCAATGATGAAGAAGGGGTCGGAGAAGGTGCTGGTGATGGTTTTGGGGGAGACGCTTGGAAGAGAACCTGAGGGATGCGTTTGGTTAAAGGCAAAACCAACAGTTGGAAAAATATCCTGCTCCTCACGGAATTCTGGGAGAGTCTCAAGGCAGAATATGATGATGGAGATGACGATGACGAAGACGGAAACGAGAGCAACCCCTCGGGCTGCGTTTGAGCTCTCGGGATACTCAAAAAGCAGCCAGAACTGCCTGTGGAACTCATTGGACGGCAACGGGACCTCAACTTCTTTGATAAAGCCTTCGTCCTCGCGGAATTGGTCCATGGCTTCCTGTCCTAACTCGTAGAAGATGATCTCATCTGAGAAGACATCTAAAGGTACATTCGCAGGCCGGCGAATCTTGCCCCCCGACTGATAGTAGTAGAGGATCCCATCAAAGCTCGGACGATTGCGGTCAAAGAAGTACTCGTTTCTCATCGGGTCAAAATAGTCTATTCTCTTTATTGGGTCGCCCATAAGAGTCTCAGGGAACTGGTTGAGGGTCCTCAGGCGGGTTTCGAAGCGAAGACCGGCGATGTTGATGATGACCTTCTGATCACCCTCATCAAGACCTCGCTTATCAACAAACAAGTCCTCGTAGCATTCTTTGGCCAGTCTACTGAAGATTGTCTCACTTTGTGTTCCTTCACTGTTCACAAGTAACTTCCAGTTGGAAATTAGACTAGCACAGCTAGCTCGTCCTCTCCTTGTGTGAGGCGGCAGGACAGGTGATTGCGGTACATCCATATTTGGTGGGTTCTTCTCTTTATATGGTGACACTTTTGCTGTATTGCATGTAGTGCCAGGCCCAAACTCTGGCATTTCTACTGTCAAAGCCGTCATCTCATTGGGATAGTCTGGGTCATTGAAGTTGTCCATACAGTTGTCAATGTTTTCCATACTGTCAAAGTCGACTAGCGCCACCTCCATCCTTCCAGCCTGGACCGTCATGTGCCCCCAGATATCACACAACAGCCCAATTCTACCTTCACCAGAACACAATCACTGGTCTAATACTTCAAATGCTCTTCTGCATTTGATTTTGAGGTGAGGGTCAACAAACTGAGGAAGAATCAACAGTGCTGGGACCTGCAAAACAAAGAAGAAGTGTTAGAGTGTTTTTGCCTAATACAACTCAGACTAAAGCAGTAAATGGTGTTTGAGAAGCACATTGTTTCTTGGTAACTGCTCTGAGACAAACCCCGAGGAGAGCAGCTGGTGAAGGTGACCTATTTTACGAGGTGTCAGCATCACAACAATTCCAAAAATGCCAGTTATTTTTGGGTTATTTTTGTTTTCTCTGTGAATCTACTTTGCACTGCAAATGTGGGAGTGATGGCAAATTTCACAAGTCTATCAATCACAATCCATGAAGGAAACACTAAAAATCCTCTTTTGGACTGACATGTTCAGCTCTTAGTATATTTTTTCATTGTTTTTATGAGAATTAAACACATGTCCTCCTCCAATTCACAAAAAAGAATGATATATTAAATGAACTATTTTAAAAGTATGGTCACACTTTATATTAGGTGTCTTTAACTACTATGTACTTGCATAAAAATACACTTATGTCTTGTATTGTATTGCAAAAGCAGCTATTGGAGCCTGTTCTCATCCTTTTGCGTCATATAGGTGACGCCATATGACATTTCGTCGAAATACTATACACACATGGCACCCTCTAGCGACAATATAACACGAAGAACCCAAGGCGTCATACAGGTGACTGGCATTCTTTAGCATCAATATGAGACGCAGACCCTACCCCAGACCTAAACCTACCCATAACACTGCATGTTATATTGACGCTAAAGTGTGCCATGTGCGTATATTATTTTGACGAAATGTCATATGGGATACGGGACAAGTTTAGGGACTTGGGTGGTATGGGTAGGTTTAAAATCCCCATGAATTTGAAATTTATGTTGTTTGGCTTTTAGTATGAATATAAGCCTGTTCACACCGGGACGAATTTTGCGCATGTTATTTGCCGACGTTTAACAGTTTGTGACTAAACAATGTGAGTGTGCACACTGACGCATAAAACGCCACGCGTAAAAACGTCATTTTTTTTAAAAAACGCCTCGGGTTCTTTTTTTTTTAGTTTGACGCGACGCGTCAAAAACTATCCGACCAATGAGATTGCCGCTTTTGCTCACGTGTTTGAAGCTTCTGAGGTTACAGTAAAACACGACTTGGGGGCGCTCAAACACAAAACGGTCTTGCTGAGCACACATATGCAACGGCGAAGAAGATATACGCGTCGCCGTCTACACTACACAGCAAGAAGAAATAAGACGAGGAAGATGCAAGGCAAGATGAATGTAGAGCTGCTCGTCTCGTTGGTGTTAAAACATAAAGAACTATGTGACAAACGCGACAGGGACTACAAACATCCTGATAAAAGAGAACTGTTGTGGAGTGGTATTGGAGAGCAAATTGGCGCCATCTAATGTCAGGGAATGAATTTGCATATTCACTCGGCTCATCGTCAGCGAAAATCGTTTGGGTGTGAACACAAAAAACGAGTTGAAAAATGCTGACGAATAACGCACGCTGATATTCGTCCTGGTGTGTACAGGCCTTGCTGTTATCTATAAACTAGTCCGCTCCAACATAATGACAAAATTCGCATTTAGAAGACTGTAAAACTCACTGTCTCTCACTTCCACTTTGATGATTTTGATGACGTCACTCTGTACTTCTCTTCAGATTTTCTGTCCAATCAAATGCTTTCTAGAATCTGAATCTCCGCCTCCTATATTATGAATAGATGCTGAACCTACGGCTGAAATCGATCAGTTGTTAACACGTTTACTATTTTCTACATGGTGAATGGCATATAGTGCACTATACAAGGGATAGGAAATGATTCAGAAAGTGTAAATATGCTGTCCATTGGGGCGAATTAAGTCTGGTTTCACGCCAGTCTCACACCACAGCTCCAGTCAAGAGACACGATAGCAGAGAGTGGATCATGTGCGCGAGTCAACACAGGCAAGAAAACATATCTGACCCATTTGAATTCTGCACAGAATGCTATTTTTTAAAGTGATATAGAGAAGATTAGGAGGAGAAACGTTTAGACATTAGGGGGAAACTGGTCGAATTGTAATATAAGCTAAATGCTACTGGCTATTTTAGAAAAGGGAGGAGCTATTCAATATGTTCCACCCTGTCTTTCTGTTTCATGGAAATTACATCAACACATTGCATAACGCTATGCTTGTAAAGGCACTTCAGTGGACCTTTAAGTGTGTATTTAAGAGGTAAGGGAAAGGTCAACAGTGGGATACAGTAGATGTAATTACAGAAATTAATTACTGACATTTACATGTATTTTTAGAACAATGTACAGTGCAAAACATGTACTGTATGCACACAACACTGCAAGTGCAATGTCTCAAATGATTAATTTAAGTAATAGTAGAGTAGAAGTTAGACACTAAGTTTGTCTGAAGTTAAGACACGTAAAATAAAGTGGAACCAAAGGTATTTATACATTAGAGTATATGTTGTACTGTTTAATTTAACGTTTTTATTAAACAATAATAAATAGTGTATTTAAAAAAAAAGAACATTTAAGGGATAACACCATTAACAATAACTGGACAGATTACATTAATGTGAATTTGGAAAGGTTGATTATCATTAATGAATATGCATGAAAATGTCTTAAAACAGGCTTTATGCAAAATATTCGATAGTTTAGTATTTTTGAGGTTTCATATTAACACTCAAATGCTAAAAGTTGCTTCTTTGCATTCCCATATCCTCTCACTGTCACAAACTCGAGTTTCGTACATGCGGCCGGACATTTGGACAGCTTCCCTGCTGTTCTTAATGTGACGTTTCCCGTTTCTATGGTGACACACCTCTGACACAACAGCGGGCCGGACATCACCTCAGCTAATGTGTAACCCCTGTCAAACACTTGACACCAGAGTCCTGGCCTGTGAGGCAGTGTGGGAGAATAAGAGAGCCGCCGAAAGAGAAGTCGAGAGATAGCAGCAGAGCCAAGGAAGCCGAGAGAGAAAGAGAAACTGTTGGCCCAGTAAAGGCCAAGACTGTGGGGAAAACAATCGCCCCTCATCTAATTCACTTACTATTCCATTGACCTGCATTGGGTTCAGAGGAAATGTTGCAGTGCCTTCAGACAAGCTGTACAAGTCATTAATAACAGGACTGTCTTGAACCAGTATTTCTCTCTGGTGGTTTTAAACACGGTAACCAATAGCCGCGTTTCCATTACCCTGGCCTTCAAATTGCTCAAATTGAAATTGAGAACTGAAAATACGCCCAATGGAAACACGTAAAACGTTTTTAATGCTTGCATGAGGTGGTTTTTCAGGCAATTCAAAAAAACTGCATTGGGAACTTTTTACACATTTGAAGGTCATCTGATGGCGTACATAAAAGTCTGTATTTTTTTAAAGATGTTTGGACAGAGGGCTAAAATCATAAAAAAACTCTTTACATTCGATTATGATGAAAACAAATCTCAGAGAAGGATTGACTAGGTACCGATGTTTTATTAGACCAAAGGGTCATTGTTCGCCTGAGTTCTCCTTAATAGTTTTTTTCTACATTTTTTTATCGACACTTCTAACACATTAGCTACCACAAAGCAATGCTAAAAACAAGAGTTTTGCATTGTCTCTGTTACACGAGTTACATGTAGTCCCAGACAGCAAACTGACATTGAATCAACGTGGAAACGACGTCTCTCATGACATTGAAACAACGTTGATTTTGCTCATCGAATTAACGTTGAACCAACGTCAGACGCGGCATTCTTCAAAGCTAAATGAAAATCGAAAATTGGTTTGCTTTCATAACGTTGAAACAACGCGTTGATTTCAAGTTGATTTTCCGTTAGTTTTGAAAGAATGACGCGTCTGACGTTGGTTCAACGTTAATTCGATGAGCAAAACAATGTCAGATCAACGTTGTTTCTGTCATATTTCCACGTTGATTCAATGTCAGTTTGCTATCTGGGGTTACTATAGTAATAACTATAAATGCATAATTAAAACTACTCCTAGACCAAACTTAATCTATCCCTAACCCTATAGTAAGTACAAGTAGTACATTTATAGTACTCAGTACTTTAATGTATAATTACACTGAAGTAAAGTGTATCAGGAGTTAGTTTTAGGTTACACTTTATTTCGATATGAGACATTCTACCAACTAAAAGTAACTTTGCAACTACATGTCAACTAACTCAATTAGATATAGAGAGTATAAGACTGTTAGGGTTCGGGTTAAGTTGACATGCAGTTGTAAAGTTACTTACAGTCAGTACAGTAGAATGTCTGAAGTGGGCAATCAAAATAAAGTGTAATTGGATTTGATTTCATGCAAGTATATTACAGGTATTATAGATTTCTAAATGTCCTTGCATTAACAGGCTAAATCTCAATAGGAGCATGGTTTGAGAGGCGCAGATTAATTAAAGATGATAAAAATGAGTCATCCTGCTCAGCTGCACTGACCAGAAAACAGAGAACGTGTGTCACGGAGAGAGAGAGAGAGAGAGAGGCTGTCATTATACGGAGTACAATTTTATTTATAGCACTTTTAACGCTGCAACGCCCAAAGTCTTTTACACAAAATAAGAACACAATCATTAAGAATACAGTCATGTAGAGCTATACACATCATATGAACAAACAAAATTTAATACAAATATAAAATACACACAAAAATACTAAAAAGCACGTCTATACAAACACGTTTTTTTTTTTAAACGATATTTAAAAACAGACACACAGTCAGCAGATCGAATATCCACTAGCGAACTAGTCCATAACTTTGAAGCCGCTACTGCAAATGCTTCATTTGCTTCTTGGAACAGCCAGAAATTTAATAAAAGAAGATCTAAGACATATAAGGTCTCAAAAGCTCAGCTAAATGCATAGGTCATAGATCAGGTAACCAGTGTAAAGAAGCTAAAACAGGTGGAATACCACTAAAGAAGTTTAGATAGCTTAACGGGGAATCAATTACAACAATGAAGAAACACTGATGTAGCAGGACATACTACTTACATATATTTGGAAAAAATACAAGCACACAAACAA